TCCCTACAAAAGTGAGCAATGGTCATGACATTGCAAAATCATAAGCATAGCTTTATGTTAAGAAAAACACAGATTTTTAGGCTTGATGTAAAAAATACCGGAGATTGGTCAAAAAATGAGTTGAACAGCAGGTAACTCTTCAGTAGGAACGATGAAGTTTCAATTTCATCACAAAACCTGAAGTTACAAAGTTACTTTGCCCTTTTGACACCTGCAGTGTTGTCTGCCTCTGTGTTTTGGCATGACATACTCAAAAATACACGAGAAGAAAACTTCATCCATTAGTGTTTCTGACTTGGAAGGAGGAAGAAAAAAAAGGTGAAACAGGTTTTTACTTTGAAATTTCTCCCTTCCCCAAAGGGTTTGAGAATTGAAACTTTATCTCAGAAAATGCTGATTTCCTATTTCATAACTTGTGGCAATTTTTTCTCAGTTAAAATAAAGGAATAATGATTATGGAGTTTAGTCAAAATCTGACTGCCCAGTAATCTGCAAACCAGCGTTGCTGAACCCACAGCAATAGAGTAACAAACATGTATTTCCTCAGGGACGTAGTTAAACACCCCGCATATTTATTATCTTAAAATGGGAGCAGGTCCAGCTTTCTAAGGCCGCTCTTAAAAAAAATTCCCTTCCTCTTCCTGAGCTGTAACTCAGACCAGCATATAAATATTTCACCTAATGTTTCTGTGGAAATATTAACAATATAAAGTTGCTAGAAACAAAAGAACATGAAACAGCAGAGGGAAGGAATGGTTTGGCAAGATTGTCAGCCTTAAAGGGCAAGATTAATTTATAATCCTTCTAGATTCTGGTGTACAAATACAAATTTGCAAAGCATGTAGCTTATAATAAACATTGTGTAGCTCTGCAAGTTTACATATGCTACTGTCACTAATGTGAGACAGCCTTGAAATTGGATTTTTAGGGATTTTTTTTTTTTTTTCTTATGGGGAAATAAGGTAGTGATAGTAACAAGGAGTTTCCGTACACACATGTGTGTATATATATAAATACATATATAAATTTGGAAAGTGGAGGAATTCCAACTGTGTGACTAAGCAGAGTTCTGGGCAGGATACCCAGATATTTTCATGAGGAGTTTTTTCCCTTGGTTTAAAATCCTGGGAAAGGAGGAGTGTAGAAGGGAAGTGGGGGGGGGTGGGGTGGGGACGGACAAACAACCTGAAAGTAATCTATTTTGTAATGACTTTACAATGACTAATAAAAAGGAGTGACTAATTGGAAAATAATGTGTGATGGCTATTTGGTATTGTAAGGGTTGTTGTGAAATAAGTATGCTTTATGCCACTCAATGGAATATGTCTTTTTTCTTTCTTTTTTTGTAAGTTTGTAGCTGTTTTATCAATTTAACTGAAAAAAAAATAGAATTAAATAAAATGTCAAATTCTAGACACAGAGTGAATACAGGAGCAATGGAATAATAGAAACTTTAAGTAGTGAAATAGAACACAGTAAAGATAAGACAGGAACTGACTAAGGACATGAGTAGCTTTTCCAGGGTTTAACACAAGAATTGCACAGTGTTTTCTGAATGACTGAAATCATATTTTATAGTTATATATTACCATGAACCATATTTTATCATTATATATTACTGGCAGGGAATATACCTTGACATTAAGTAAAAGATCGAAACAGCTTATGGGGTTTTAGAATGATTTAAAAAGTTTTTATAACATGGCCTGTAACTTCTTGTTTTCTGCCATGCAGGTCATCAGCAGTGAAGGGACAGAGGGAGCAAAGTTTCGACTCTCTGGTAAAGGAGTAGATGAAGACCCAAAAGGAATTTTTAGAATCAATGAGATCAGTGGGGATGTCTCCGTGACCCGAACCCTTGATAGAGAAGCAATTGCCAATTATGAGGTGAGTACTCATACCAATAGGATCTCTGCCTCTATGTTGATAATATATACTTTTTGAAAGTGTGTTAGTTGAAAGTGCTGCAGTTATTGAAGACTAAATTGTGGCTACTGTCCTATAAAATTTCCAGAAGAACTGTTTGTCCTTTGGAAATGGTAAATGTGTTTATTTTTACATGCAATCAAAACTCTACTCTGCTTTCTGCATGTAATTTCTGTTATTTGTCTTTAGTAGAAATACTGTCTGAACATTGTGTGTGCATTTGATTTGTGAATGCAAAATTATGTTTGGACAAAAGGAGATCTTTTCAGGAAGTTGCCCCTAAGGTACTACATGGTCATACTGCTTCTGTATTGCCAAGCTGTCAATGGAATATACTATTCAATTCCATTTTTAGAAATGGATATCTTTTAATAGAGATAAAGAAGATCCTGTTAATATGAAAATGTTAGCAGATACATCTCTGTCAGATGTATATCTCCTACAAAGATTTTACTAAAGATTCCTTTCCTTGTCAATAAATGCTATGTTTCTCCCTGCTGAAATTCTAACAAATGAGCTCTGAAATCTGTAAAACACCTGTACCACAGTGTCCTGAAATGCATAGTATAAATGGAGGATCTGCCAATTCATGTTTTCTATCTAGCTCTTGAAATGTGCAGTCAGATAAATTGTGACTGGCTGCTTCGATATAGATGAGCAGCAGAATTCAAAATGCAAAATGCTTAGTACATTTGCATGTTGCCACTTCTGTCACAGCAGGGGGGACTGCCCTCCGTGTCCTCATGCAGCAGGGAGCGTGCGGTACTCCAGCCCATGTGGGGTACAGGCTCTGGTGACGGTTCTGACTGCCATCCCTGACCTCTCTGTTTTGTCTTCTGCTGTGTAGTAGTCAATACTCATACTTTCAATGCTGTTTCTCTCCTCCTCTGGAAGAGTTTGCCAGTTAGATGACTAGTCATATTTGTTCAAACAGCACTGCTAAAATTTACCATATGTTGGTTTTCAACACTTAAACATCTACTTCTCATGTGGGTCTACAGTGAAATGTATGTTAACCACTTGCTATATGATTTATGGTAGTTACTGATGTCCTTCTTAAAAGAAAAACATTGCAGTTTCTCTTTTTAACACTGTTCCTCATCTTCATTTACCAGCTGTTTCTTATTTAATCAGTGGCTTTCCACCTTAATGTGTTCAGAATAAACCTTGAATATTTTTTTACTGGAAAATGATAGTAGTCTTTTCAACCTGATGCATCAAACCACAAATGGCCCTCCTATCTGATCTGGCAAAGTATACGCTTAAATTAAGACAAAAACATTTCCCTAGAGGAGCCTTTTTGAAGCAATGAAAATTATATACAAATAGTGCAGTGTAGTAGATTACCCAGAGCAATGTGAATGTATACCCTAATAGGCTGTAGTGCTTTCTAACCTGTTATATAGCACTCTGCTCAGCATGCTCACCGGCATCCTGTTGTGCAAAATGTAGTTGAAAAGTTCTGCAGGAGAACCCTCAACTCAATCAGTCTGTCTTTGAATCCAGCCCATTGTTTTCCAATAAAGATGCATCCTGGTGTCAGGAAGGCAGCAGGATTTTCTCCCTGATTTCCTTGGTACACCAAAAGATGCATTACCTGAAAGATCCTTAAATTTCTCAAAGTGTTTTTGTTTTCTGTTTTCGTTTGAGCTCCCCCCTGCCCAGTATTGATGTCCTGAAAGAAAAAGTTCAAAGCAAAGGGGCAAGCAAGGAAAGAATAGATCTCCATGAAAAAATATAAGTTCTTTGCAAGCCATCATACCATCAAGTGTATAATCAGTGGTGGGGCAAGGATAAAAAGATGAAATCTGTTTGAATCCTTCCAGCTATGCAGAGGGCTGCTGTGTATGAGCACCGATTTTTTTTTTTTTTTTCTATGCTTAGTGTGTATATACTCAAGGGATGAGAAATAAAAAAATGTTAATAAGGCACAAAATAGAGCTTTGGTGATGACAGTATTTCATAGAACTTTGCAGTGTACCTCAAAATGTTTTAAATTAGTCAAGAATATTTATTATGAAAATTTGTTGCCGTTTCTTTCATTGAATGTTTGAAATTCTGCTTTTTGCCGCCCTCTTTCTCCTGGAGGAATACTGAAAAACCTGTGGCAGTTTTTCCATATATTCGTTACAAGAGAAACGTGATTAAATTACAAGAGTACTGAATTCTACGCAGACAACTGTTGATTGTCTGAGTTAATCCCCTCTTCAACTGTTTATTTTTAAATATTTTATTTTTAGTAAAAGGTAGATAATATTTTAAATTAGAGTGAAAAAATCTGTCTGAGGGTCAGGGCCTGCCAGTCTATTTGGTGCAGACCAGTTGCACGGCAGTTGTGTTTTCAGATGAGTTTAGATTCTGTTTGTTAGCAAAAGAAACTCGAGCTGGCAAGAGGAATGTAAGGCAGCTACATTAATGACACCCACCCCTTCCACCCCCTCAAAACAGACTTGTTTATCCAATTGATCTATGATTTTATTTTTTATTAAATCAGTTAAAGTGTTCAAAAATGGACAAGTATGTGAAATTCTACCAAAATATTGTCAGGGTGATTAATTGCCGTAGTAATTCTGACCTAATCACCTGGACATTGAAAGTGTGATGGTTTCTATTGAGAAAATGAAACTGTGCCAGAGGAGGCTGGGTGAGACAGCAAAAGTCCAAAAGCCACTACGTTGAAATTAGCCATTAGTAATTTTTTTTTTTCCCCCATGTATATGGAACTATGCTAATGAAATCGTGTTTGCCAATGGAAAAAGGCAGATGCTTCTGGTGTGGTTTTCCCTGTAACTTTGGGGGGTGCCTCCTTAAAGGTCAGAGAATGCCAATCAGCTTCAGTTTTAAGTGAAAGCTGTTTATGAAGAAGAGCAAGAGGATGTAAGGATGTTGTTATGCCCAGCAAAGACAGACTGTCCTAGAAAAGTGTGTAGTAATTCCTTTTTTCTTCTAAAGAGATCTGATAGAGAGCTTCCTATTAGGAATTCTCTGGATCAGACTAAACCAGTGGATTTACATCGAATGGCTTTATTTTGGGGCTTGCTACAGCCTGTTGATGAAACTACTAAATGATGCTCTGAAGAAGGGGCTTAAGCAGAATATGGGCATATTATTGAATTGTTTCTGGGTTGGTGAGATAAGCGGGTAGCCTAGAGCCCCTATTTAGTGGGAGCAGAAGGTGTTCAGTTGTACAAATATGCTCTCAAAAATAATGTCTTTGGGCTTCTGTCAAGATTTGAATAAATACGACTAGATGGAAATTTTAGACAATGGCGAATTATTTATTTATTTTTTTAGTATTGAAAAATGCAGATGTGTAAAAACAGGTAAGGAGCTTGGCAGGGAGACTTAAGATGGATTTTCTAGTCCAAATCAGTGAGGTACACACCATCCAAAAATTGCCGATAATCTACAGAATTCTGAGTTCACTTCAGATCTATAGTCTTTTCTGATTCCAGCAGAGCAGAAATATTAGTGACATTTCAGTTGCATCTTTTAGCAAAAAAAAAATCAAAAGAATCAAGTGCTTCTAAAAAGAGCTGCAATAACAGAACTAAAAGATTCCAATGAATGTGGAAGTCTAGTTGTCCGAAGTGTTGATAAAAGACTAGTGAATTGGGAAACAGAGGTTCAACTAGAGGGTCAGTGAATACTGGCCGAAAAACAGTGGTTATGGGGTAATCTTTCAACTAAAAACATTGAGCTCATTTTCAAAACCTCATGTTTACATAGATAATGCATGTTTATATAGGCAGAATGCTTTCATGCAGGTAAAAACAGGAAGAAATGCATATATTGATTACCATGACCAAGGTGACAAAAATTGCGAAGTTAAAGAATTATGTTTTGTTCTTTACTCAAAGTTAGGTAGGCTCAGAAGAAATTGGAACAATATTCCATTAACTTTTTACAGTTAATGCATAAGATTTTGGTTAGGCATTCCCTGGGTACGGGACAAAGCCTGAAGTAGTATAAACTTGTTTCCCATCACTTGTCACTGTATGTAATCCCTGCAGCAGTAAAATCCATTTCTGTAACCTCTTAAGCATCAGTGGTAAATTGCCAACCAGTCAGTGGGGTACTTTCAGGTGGGTCTCAAGATCTTAAAGGATGTGGCCATCATTGAGGGACTTTTTCATAACTGCTTGCCAAGTGTAAGTATGCATGGAAGAGAAATAATCAGAAAGTGATCCTTTGCAAGCATGAAATGAAGCAGTTTGCTAAAACTATTCAGTGAGACTGTGCAAATTAGAGCTGTGACCAAATTTACCTAGGCAATTTGAACTGTTAATGAAGAGTTAGTTTTAATTATTTTTTAAGTAAAGAGCTTTATTTGCTTTAGCAAATACTTAACAAGCAGAGGTGTGAAATCAGCTTTCAGCTTTTTTTATAATGACAGATTACACTTCTGTGAAAGGATGCCTTGCAACTGGTAGTGACAGACTGAGATATTTAGAAAACATGTTAACAAGACTGAAAAGCAAATTAGGACTATTCGCTCTATGTAGTATTGTTTCTATATGTTGGATAACAAGTAGACTGAGAACAGGCTAAAGAATTCAGACCAATCAACAGCAGCCAAATCTCTAGTGTGAACTGCTTCAGTTTAGGTTACGTGAGACTTGTTTCTGTGACCAAGCCAAACTTTTAAGGTGATGCTGCACTCCTAATGGACTCTATTTCTGTGTTTAATATGGAACAAATATTGGAAATGCTTCACAATCATGAGGAAAACTAGCTTGGTCAGGTGCCAAGGAGTATTTTCTGAGAAAGATTTTTAAGTACTTGAATGCATTTTTGCAGATACTGAAAGTATTACTGTAGCAAAAAACCTAGCAGTGAACAGCTGTAATTTATCCTGTACAGAAGAACGAATTTGTCTTCTATGTAAGTCCATTTTAGTGCAGCCACATCCTTTTCAGAATGATTTATCATGCCCTGATACTCAATCTCTGCAATATGGA